ATGTATGCAGGCTAGCTATTAATCAGCATAAGAAATAAAAAAAACTGGAAACTCACCAGCCTACCAAATAAGTTTGATTTAGTCATGTCAGTTGAGCACTTCACTATTTAACATTGCATCAAATTGCGCGTTATTAAATGGCATCATTGCCTGCTCGCACAGCAATGCACCTGAGACCTGAAAACCTGGCAACTTGTAAGTTAACACGCGCACGGGTAGCCGGCTGGATACCCTTCGCTCGGGTGGGGGTCAATTTGGCCCCCCTGAGATCTCGGAAAGTAAGAAAGCTAGAGACACTAAATTTTCAGGGTGTATTGCCCTTATGTCAAAGTTTGAGCTTCCTAGGCGATAACCTTCAGGTCAAATGAGGTCAAACAAGGTCAAATTCCAGGTTGGTCTCCAAAGCGCCCCCAGAACCTATGTAACTGTTTTACGCAAAAGGTCACAAGCTCATTTGAGGTCAGTGACCTTGTTTGACCTTTTCAAGGCCATGATGACCAAAATCATACAATATTGCTCTGAGTTTGGCATTTGAATAAGCGACAAAGATTACGCTAGGCAGAATGCTCCTAAAACAAAAGGTAGGCCTAGGTCATTTTAGGTCAATGACCTGTTCTGACCTCTAAGAAAGTCAACGGAAGATGCATAATGTGGTTCCTGCTGTCGATTTATTCGAAATGAGCACCAGAAGCTATCTCATACAGCAAGCTCTGGTGGAATAAATCAGGTTGGTTTTGACCTTGGTGTGACCTTCATACTTGACCTTACGTCAACGTAAGTTGTCATTCAATATCTGTGATGCCTAAGAAAGCATCTCAGAGATGTATTGCTTCTTAAACACGGCGATGCTGTATCAGATTGAACGATTCCCTAGAAATTGCCTTATCTGAAACTATTTCCTGACTTTGACCTACCACTGGCCAGGGACCTAACAAGGCTCATCTAAATTTTGTCAAACGATCGGCTATTCAATTGTCTACAGCTATGCAAGATTTGGCGCGGGTACACCTCGCCGTTTGGAAACCATTCTGGAAAAGCCTTAGGGGGGGGGCAATTTGACCCCCCTCACCCGAGTGCGTGTTGATCACGACTCGTTGAGTCGTCTAACATGATAGAAGAACGTAGTTACATATTCAATTTAAAACAAATACAATAGTGTGTGTGCCCTGGTGATCGCAAACAGCGTTTTGGCTAAAGCAAGACTAGTCAAAGCGATGCCGGCCTAAAATGTGGATGGGCCGCCCATCAGATGACTGTACGAAACACGAAGGATTTCTTTCTTTTGTCGCAAATATACTTTGCACTTTGTACGCATACCATCAGCTTGACTATGCAAGCAATCAACCAACACACTTGCGGAGTAGTTAAACAGAGCTTACATTGCGTACGAATGTCTTTATTCATAACCTCCAGTTTTGGTGGGCAAGACTTCTCTGGCCTGGTTTGCCCAGCCGGAACTCGAACCCGAATATATGGAACACCGGCCAATTATCTCGGCCATTAAACCACGCGGCCCCGGTGGATCGATCGCGCTGTTGATTACTTTTACAACTGCACTATCGTTAACTGGTAGATACGTGAGGTTTTTCAGTATTTCAGAAATCCGCCTTCGAGCCGCAGAGCGCGCATACGAAGTTTACGTACTATTTGGCGAATAATGTCGTCAGATTGCAGAGTGGTTATACAGTTGTGGCCCACCAAATCTGAATTGTCTGAGTATAAATCTCTCTGCACAAATCTCAATATAAGCAGCTAAAATCTTAAGAAAGTCCATGGCGCACAAATGACCATTATAATGCTGCTTTGCACATTATTTAACTGTGAATGAAAACCTACTTTCATCAATCTATACCCTACCATCAAAACCAAGCCAAGTCTTATTAAACCTTGCCCCTGTTGGTGCAAGCTATGGCTTAAAAAAAAATTATGTGCGCGATATTTTCAAGACAATTTGTGTTTTTTACTCGTGGTTATATGGAAAGCGTCCTATGTAGTCAGAAACACCAGTTTTTACCAAATATTTCTGAATATTCCGGAATTTCGTTTTGAAGTGGCCAATCCGACGGGAGAAATGCTATTGGACTTCCCGCTCACCACTATAAAAGTAATGGGCACTTCTCATTTGTGTTGTTTTCCCAACATGTATCATGCTAGTAATATTTGCAATACACTAATTGGTCAAAATGTGTGCGCACCATTTATGGCCAGCATCATTTTGAAACACCATTTGGCGATGGAATATGCAAACACGAGGCCATTACAAAGGCGAATTCAACGACCTGTCATGCTATGACTTTGATTTATCCCCATGCCGTTTAGCGAAGTGACTATTTTTAAAGGGCATTTGAGCCGGCTTTAGAAAACCTCGTTTACATGATGCTCATTCCATTGCATTTCATAGCTTTTTTAAATAAAGCAATGTGACCCCGTCGTCGCGCACTCTTACGGAGCGCCAGCGGCTGCAGAGGTCATATTAGCGTCCAGAGACTATGCCTCTACCAGATGCGAAGCCACGTCCCCGCGTGGGACCAGGAAGTGCTAACCATCCGGCCATCACGCGCCCTCACCCTTCCCCGTTACAAGGTCATGTTTAGCGACACATCGCGAGGTCTAGTGATGTTTAAAGATGTTTAAATGTTTAATGATGTTTAAAGATTTTTAAATGTTTAATGATGTTTAAAAATGTTTAAATGTTTAATGATGTTTAAAGATGTTTAAAGATGTAAAACCCCATCCGGTTCAAAACCCCATACAAATGAGGAGCACTCCCTTTGCTCGCCTCTGTTGTTCAATCATAAGTGTTTATTTCTACTGACGCCACACATGTCCATGAATGGCAGAGAACATTCTGATCCCCTCACTTCAGATATACAAAGGGTTATAGTTGCTGTGGATGTTTGTGGTGGTCTACATGTAGCTTTTCTCTTTATCATGCCAAATTGCATGCCAATATTCCAGTAGACCGACGTAAAAATCCACACACACAGTCGCGGAGCTCGCTTCTGGTATCCTACTTCAATAACTTGGGTGTGGTAAAATTGCCCGTTCCCTGACATAACTCTCTCCACCACAATGCATGCCAAACTTCTGGCCCTTGGGGCCCTCAAATTAGGGCCTTAACAGTTGATCTCGAGAAGCACAAATGGCTATTCAGAGCCTCACGGGAGGGGGCTAAGTGCCCCCTCTGCCTCCCTCCCCTCCCCTGGCTGCACCGCTGCGCACATTATTCAGCAAGCGCCGGCAGAGTCCGACCCGACTAAGCCTCGTATGAATGCTGGGCGTGGATACACCTATGGGTACATGTCAAATGAGGAAAGCTGGCTCTGGCTCCAAAAACGTTGACCTCGGGACAGGCTCATTAAGTGTTGAGCCGGCGTAAGCACCAACGTAAATGCCTTCTGATAGCCAATAGTCCATTTTCCGATGCACTGCTATCAGACTTCTTGAAGACCTTCAGACCTCAAGAAGCCGAGGAAATAAACACAATATGCTTCGATTGGCTGAATAACGACTGGTTTTGTTACGCTCTCTAGTATGTCCCCACCGATTGTCTGAAAAACTGGGCCGCGACGATATCCTTCGCTGCATCTAATGATTACGCCTGGCATTGTGTCATCAAGGAACGCACCACCCATAAATGAGCCCACAACAGCTGTGCCGTCATAATGCGGACAGGTCGCATGAAGTGTTGTTTTCCAAAGTAGCTGTTAACGTCTCTTTTGGTCTACGCTTGGCTCTCATAGCCGCATTGACCGCGTTTGCCATTCATTATACGTCAGCGCCCCCCCCCCCCCCTCCTCCCACCCCAGGTTTTTTGTGAGGGGTTTAGACCGCCGCCAATCCCCTCTGCCGGCTCTAGTAGAGGCTCTATTCCCCTGCGTGCTCCATTAGTGCGTGCGCCGCTTTTCCGGTCTTGTAGTTGCCTAGCAGCCTTGCATATCGCACAAGGTCCATCCGGCAGTGATATAAACATCTAAAAAAGAAATTAGTGGGATATGGTGGGTTCCACGCAAATCTCGACTAAGCACCAGACTGCAGAGCCTGGGCGGTCCAGGGCGCCCCGTGCTCAATGCTACACGCGAGCCTTACGTGTTGGCGCAGCTGACGGTTCGAGGGTGCGTCCCCTCGCCTCTCTCTCTCTCTCTCTCTCTCTCTCTCTCTCTCTCTCTCTCTCTCTCTCTCTCCTCTCTCTCTCTCTTCTCTCTCTCTCTCTCTCTCTCTCTCTCTCTCTCTCTATCGCTTTCCGCCGTTTTCACCTGAGCGCCGTTGTTACCTGTAATGTTCGCGCTCCTCTCCGCCGCTAAACACGCGGCAATTTCCGTGCCACCATACGTCATCGGCGGCTGAAAACTCGCGCCGCGGCCGTCACCTTCCCATCTGCAACGAGCGGTCTGCAATTAGAGCCGACCAATGGCAGCTCTCCGCCGCGGCCCCGCCCAGTCAGCCGACCAATCGGCGGGCCCATTACGCGGTAAATATGAAATGAGCAATCACGCGCACCTGGAGGATCTCACCGAAATCATGGAAAATAGAAATAAAGATAAACGACGGCGGCGTCGGCAGAGATTGCCGTCGGCAGCCGGAGAGGGGCCGGAGGGCGAGATGAGAGGCACGCCGGGGCCGGCCGACGGCACAGGGACACCGTCTGCGGCGAGCACGCGCCGGCCTGCCCCTTGACAGACGCCGCCCTGCCAGACGCCATCGCGCCGGCATGGCCGAGATGGCGCCGGGCAGCCAGCCGCCGCCGGCCGCCGCCTGCACCGAGGTGACCGAGCTGGAGCCTGTGCCGGTCGAGGCGCCGGCGGTCGTCGCGGAGCCGACCCCGCCTTCGGCACCGGTCCGTAGACCGCATGGGTTCAGCATCGCCCACCTGCTGCATGAGGAGGACGGCGCCGATGACGCTGACCAGGTGAGCTCGACCTCTGGGCCGACCGAGGACGCACCGAGGCCGCCGCCGCCGCCGCCGCTGCCGCCGCCGCCGCCGCCGCTGGTGACGCCCCCGCTGGGCCCGATGACGCCCGTCCGCGGCCTGATGACGCCCGGACGCGGTCCGATGAGTCTACCCGGCGAGACTTCCCTGATGACGCTGCAGTGTCCGACGCTAGCGCCGCTTTTCTACAACCAGCTAATCGGCAAGAACCCGTTGTTCGGTCTGCAAGGTGGGTGAAATGTTAGGGTACGCAGCGCCCACCCGGCAAAGTTAAATCGTGGTAAGTGATCATCATTAGCCGCAATGTAGTACAGTGTTGTCGCCTGATGCGATGCCACTCGTAATACAGGACACAAGTGAAGTCCATGCTTGGTTTTACATTATTGCTTTAAAGCTTTACGGATGACTTGGCGCTCTTATGGATAATATACGGTATTGTGAAACCCCAATTACACCACCGATGGCAACCGGACTTCCACATTTTCTTCCAACAAAGCGGTCCTTGTAGTTAGTATTCTTCTTAACCAAGTGTTTGAAGTCAGGGAAGCGTAAACCGTCTATAAAATGCATTTTGTTGTAAGACAGTTTGAAAAGTCTTATATTTCTGATGCAGTCATTTGATGTTATCCAGTCTGGCAATATTTGTGGCCGAGATGGAGGAAACAAAGTAGCTAAAACCAGTGCTCACATAAAGATTTTGCCTGTCTTGTATTACTGGTTTTTCACCTAATCATTGCAGTCTGCTTTTGAACCGTTTGCAAGAAGCGTGCGCATGCTCATTTGACCTATATCGGTGAACCTCAGGATGCAAGTAAATGCTCGATCTACGCAGAGACGTGGCCAGATGGGGGAAGGGACACAAGGATCATGCGCCCCCTCCCCCAAGAGCTTAGATTCTTTCACTAGGTTATGGGCGTTTCACAAGAACTTTGTTCAAACTGGCACAGGTTTGGAGAATATCTGACATATAGTCTCTGCTGAGAACAATTTTAGCTTCGTGCTTTGGTGCCATGTGAATTGATGAAATTTGAATCAAATGAGACTTACCAGAGATAAAGCATGCATACAAGACATACTGGTGAGGAACGATATTTGAAAACAATGCAGGCAGCATATGTTGCAAGGACGTGTCTTGCAATATTGCTAATAGCGATTTTATTATATATATATGTTTATATATATATATATATATATATATATGTATATACAAGAAAAAGGCAAGCATTAAAAGGCAACAAAGTGAACCCCCAGCATACCATCATCATCAAACGTCTTTCTGCGCGGAGATGATCCTTTCACTTTTAAAGCAGGGGGGGGGGGGCTCCAGCTCTTCTTCCCCAGCTAAATGCCTCGCAATTAAAAAAGAAAGAGAAAGTAACGATGCATATTTGCTAACGAGTCGTAATATCATACACGTTGGCAAGATTAGGTCAGTCTTGAAAAAAACACATCTGCTAGACTGCAATGCCTCAGCAACTACGACATGAGCCAGCTGTCTTCAGCACATTTATCGGTATAATTCAGGCATGTGTTAAGATTGCCCGGGGAGTGACAATAATTAGGAGCAGCTCAGTAATAATACATTTTGGGGAGAAGGAAATGTGAGTGCCAAGTCATCTGCGACAATTGCATGTCTTGACCTGTACGTGTGGTACTCTTTTAGTTGCGGAAACACATGGAGCGGGAAGGTCAACATGAATGTTCTTGTCTTTGCTAATGATGCGGTTTGCTAGGAGTGGCTGCGCTACTCACATTTACCCAATTGACAAGTTGCGAGTCGCCATCAATCATGTGATGATTTATTTGGAATCGCTCAGAGAGTTGACTGTGACACGGGCATTAATGATAAAAATTGTTCCATACTTTATGCTTGCCTTGCTAAGAGGATTGAAAGATCCAGACGTGATGTTTTTGTACGCTATGTGAGGGCATATGAGAATGTCAAATGCAAAGGAATCTTGCATTAACAAACTCAAACGGCTTATTCCATAATAGCATTGATGTAGTTGACGCATACCTCGCAGGCCCAAGGATAATGACTTCGACTAATGTGAGGTGCGATTTAAAGTGTGATGCTTATAAACGGCAGCTCAGGGTTTTGGATCGTTTTATCACACTGATACGATATCCACGTAGTCTCTAATAAAGCCACGAACTAGCAACGAAAGGCCTACACTGCCTCATCAGAGGCCGGAGAGAGCACCGAGGTCGAGGCGTCGAGGCGGACTGGTTAGGTGACCTCATCTGACCCTTGGTGACCTGACCCAGCGCTGAGGCCAGCGGTGTGTCATGCCAGTCCAGCATAATGACCCTGTGTGACTGCTGATACAGTAGCCCAGCGCTGATGTCAGAAAAGCGCCATATCCGACCGCTGTGGTGACCGTTTGTGACCCCATGACTGCAGCCCCGAGGCCGGTGGGACGGCGGGTGCGGAAGACGGGTGTGGACCGCAAACCCCGTCAGGCTTACAGCACCCGCCAGCTGGAGCGACTCGAGGACGAGTTCAAGGTACGGTCTGGGCTCTCACAAACTGGTTTTTTGTAGAGTGTTACGAAGTGTTTTATCAGATGTTATAGGAAAATGTAAAACAACAGAGGTATAACATGGGGAGGCTCTCATCCAGTTCAGGCGTGAAGTCTTTAGACCAGTACTTCAATGAAAGCATTTGAGGTTGTCGATACGGCACCAAATAATATAATAAGCCAATTAAGTTCGATTTTTGGCCAAAATGTTCGTTAACGCTCAGGCAAAACATTACAATTTATTCTTTGTGTTCTAAAATTCCACTTTGGTGAATGGGTGATCTCGGTGCATACAATGTATGTAAGTGAGATATTCATCGCAACTGTGCATGGGAATACCGCGCCGATCTTTCAAAATTGGCTTATTCGTTCGTTTATTCGTATATCAAAATCGTTGAAAAGTCGTTCAAAAAAGAGAAATAGCACGGTAAAGACAAAAAGCTGCGTGCGAACACCAACAATCAAGCCTTTGGTGGACCGGAAGTGTGGTGGTCAGAATACATACCGTCACTTACGGGCATAAATGACGTCAGTGGACATGAACGTTTGTGATTGGCACAACGGGTGGAGTAAGCCATTGATTCAGAAGTGCAGTGGTGGAAGTCTCAACATTGGCGTCACTGAACCACGCGATATGTTGCTGGCACATAACTTTTCTGTAAGCGCAGCCTTGCAACGAACTGAGCGTGCAAGTAAACGATGTTCCTCAAAGCCGAAGTGCGTCTCGAAAAGAGCCTTTGTCATTAGCTCTATAGGGGAGAGATTTAAGCAATAACATGAGGTCTCGTGAAATTCATGTGCTGAAGGCCTAATGTTTGCGTACCTTTTCCCTAAACATATTCTCCTTTAACCGCACCACGCCGTCCGACTGCCTCGTTGCTTGACCAGCGGCCTAGTCAGTGATGTCACGAGCCTCTCCGAGGTGCAGCATTACGGTCCGCTACCCGATGCAGGTACTCCCGGAAGCGGACGGGTCGGGTGCTGAGCAACCGAGGCCTTGCACGACGCTGGCGTCGGCTTTGGTCTATAGTCACGGTGTTGTTCTGCTTGATATGACATTAGATCCGTTGCAACTCAAAGGGCATGCCAGATGGGATCAGTTTTTTGGGAAGAAAAGCTTCATTCCATCGGTATTAATGGACATAACCTGTCGTGGTGGTCCCCACTACAGAGCCCGGGAACCAAGTCTCGTATGAACATGCTGAGAAGCATTACAGTTACCTCTCGATTTGGGGTGGCTTTCACTGACTTGCTATGTTTAATGTCGTTCTTGTCGGGAGTCATGCGTCACAAGGCGGTGCAACTGTGCGATATCCACAATGTCAGGGGATCTGCAGCCACATATTTTCGGTTCATAAACACGTTTTACGACATGTTGAATTGCTTTGCTGGGAGCGGTTGATTGCTTGCCTAATTTTGCCAATGGAGAGTTTGTAGGATGCTGCACGGTGAAGGTAATGCGACTGCGATCGTTTCAAAAGAAGACAAGCATCACATCTAATTCAATGTTGTCGATCACCCCATTTCAAACATAAATCGCACACGTGCGCATTGTGAATTGAAATGCATGAAGAGTTTTGGTAACTGAGTGCGTAAGTCATGACGTGATGGCACAGCAAACTGCTCATCCACGACACCCTTGCCGATTTTTTCGATGTCACCGCTAGGAACAAAATATTCTGCTGAGGGCGTGGTTGTTCCGTGTTCATGTTGAGATACCAATTGGCATTATTGCATGCATCAGTCTGATCTGCTCTTTTTAGCGCTGTCACATACACCTGACAGTCATCTTCTGCTGAGGCTGAGAAAAGGTGTGTCAAGATCTCTAAATACGTTATACATAATTATTTCCCCACCATGCACAAATGTCGCGGGATTTTCTTACAACACTCCATACGGGCTATTGGATATATGTACACCAATTATACAACCTATCTTATATTGACTGATAAAAGATTGACAGTGAATGAAGTATTTGACCTTTGTATATCGCCTTTTGATAATATTTGGATGATTACATAGCTTGTGTTCAATTGTTTTCATCTAAATATCGTGAACGTCTTTTGAGCTGTGTTACAACATACACGCTGAGCGATCGGCCTATTCCAGATAGACAAGTACCTGAGTGTCAGCAAGCGAATGGAGCTGTCGAAGGAGCTGCAGCTGACCGAGGTGCAGATCAAGACCTGGTTCCAGAACCGGCGCACCAAGTGGAAGAAGCAGGTGGCGTCCCGTCTGCGGCTGGTGCAGCGGCATGGTCTCCTTCCACCGCCGTTCTTCTCGCACGTGGCCGCGCCCTTCCTGTGTCTGCCGGCGCCGCTCATGTCGGCCGCGCTCCGCGAGGTCACGCCCATGACCTCGCCGAGTGACGGCTTGCCACCGGACGGCGCGAGTCTGCCCTGAGATGGGGTCCGGTCGGATCAGGTCGAGTCAGGGTGAGCCAGGTTCGGTCAGGTCGAGTCAGGGTGAGTCAGGGTGGGTCAGGATGGATCAGGTCGAGTCAGGTCAAGTCAGGGTGGATCAGGGTGGATCAGGATGGGTTAGGTCGAGTCAGATCGAGTCGGAGCGGGTCAGGGCGGGTCAGGGTGGGTCAGGGTGGGTCAGGGTAAGTCAGGGTGGGTCAGGGTGGGTCAGGTTGGGTCAGGGTGGGTCAGGGTGTGGGTGACGGCCCCACTCCCAGTGAACGGAGCACTTCTACGCCTATAGATGCTTCTATTGAGGACAAGTCGTCAGAGTCGGCCGTCACAGTCGTGGTGATTGATTGTGGCACCATTAGTCCGGCCCGTTATACAAGCCGATAGACCACCCGTGAACGCTTTCCAGTAACGCCGCCAGGTGGAAATGGTTAGAGGTTGCACGTTAATGTCATTCATACATATGCTATCACGTCCAGTAGGCATGCAAAACGCGGCTTATGTGTAACACTCCCAATCCACACAGCCATGCAATGTGAATATGGCTCATTTCAACACTCGGGTCTGCCTCCGGACTTCTTTTCAAAAAATGATTCCGCAGTGGCATGCAGCTGTGACTGCAAACTGTCAAAGCAAAACGGAACGTGCATGCCAAGCAGGGCTCACGGGATCAGGCTTCAGGAAGCCGAGGTGGGTGGGGTGATGAAGCCAAACAGTCTGTGCTAGATAACACGTTGGCAATAGACCAATTAGGTTAGCGGTCTGGCATCCAAAGCCTTTTCAACTCGTGTAGGACTCCACATTTTTCTCCCCTGTAGAACGGTTGAGTCTTGATTTTGTTTATGCCAAGCACAGGTAAGATGAAATAATCATTGAAATGGATGTGGATATCTGACTTTTCCACCAGGATTATTTTCCAGCTGTTTGTAATAGGTAGCATTAGATACCGCTATACGACAGGTTATACCACGGTCATATTTCCTGCTGCTCATTCATAACTTAGAATGCATTCATTGTACCAAAGCAGCCGTGGAATGCGGTTTTTATTAACTGTCACTGGCAGTATGTATCGTCGCGAATGCACATGTAGACAAATGTAAGCGTCCACGCCATTTGGCATTGTACCACGCGATCCACCGTAACTTGATCTCTTTGCGCCCCTGTCATCCTGTTGTGCGTGCGCTGGAACACGTGAGAAAAAAAAGATGCCTGAATAGATGCATCGACTAAAACATTACAGCAGTGTAAATATGGCGGTCTGTAAAAAGACAACTACTATGTTTTCGGATTATATGGTGACTATTACGTAGCTTCTCGGCAAGCTGCCATATATGCATAGTGGATATGGGGGAGCCATGCGATTCTTAACTAATGCGGCATATTTGAGCGTACGGATCAAGTTCCTAATTACTGTTGCCAAACGATACCCACAAGGGTCCAGCCCATCTAAACGAGTGGATTCAGATGTGCCAAATGCCCCGAGCTCTAAGCCGGCAGTGTGTCGCCGGGAGGCGCTGTTCAGTTAGCAGTGTATTGTGCTGCACCGTCAACAGTGTGTCGCCGTGAGGTGCTGCTCCGTCAGCAGTGTCTCGCTGGGAGGTGCTGCTCCGTCAGCAGTGTATCGCGCTGCTCGGTCAGCAGAATGTCACCGGGACGTGCTGCTCCGTCAGCAGCGTGTCACCGGGCGGTGCTGCTCCGTCAGCAGTATATCGCGCTGCTCGGTCAGCAGCGTGTCACCGGGAGGTGCTGCTCCGTCAGCTGTGTATCGCGCTGCTCCGTCAGCAGTGTGTCACCGGGAGGTGCTGCTCCGTCAGCTGTGTATCGCGCTGCTCCGTCAGCAGCGTGTCACCGGGCGGTGCTGCTCCGTCAGCAGTATATCGCGCTGCTCCGTCAGCAGTGCGTCGCCGGGAGGTGCTGCTCCGTCAGCAGTGTGTCACCGGGAGGTGCTGCTCCGTCAGCAGTGTGTCGCCGGGAGGTGCTGCTCCGTCAGCAGTGTGTCGCCGGGCGGTGTTGCTCCGTCAGCAGTGTGTCGCCGGGCGGTGCTGCTCCGTCAGCAGCGTGTCACCGGGAGGTGCTGCTCCGTCAGCAGCGTGTCGCCGGGAGGTGCTGCTCCGTCAGCAGTGTGTCGCCGGGAGGTGCTGCTCCGTCAGCAGCGTGTCGCCGGGCGGTGCTGCTCCGTCAGCAGTGCGTCGCCGGGAGGTGCTGCTCCGTCAGCAGTGTGTCACCGGGAGGTGCTGCTCCGTCAGCTGTGTATCGCGCTGCTCCGTCAGCAGTGCGTCGCCGGGAGGTGCTGCTCCGTCAGCAGTGTGTCACCGGGAGGTGCTGCTCCGTCAGCAGTGTGTCGCCGGGAGGTGCTGCTCCGTCAGCAGCGTGTCACCGGGAGGTGCTGCTCCGTCAGCAGTGTGTCGCCGGGAGGCGCTGCTCCGTCAGCAGGGATCGCTGAGCCGCCGGTGCTACCGTGGTGTGCGCGTACTGCCCAGCAGTGTCGGCCTGCCGGGCGCTGATCGCGGTCGGTGTCGACACCGTTCCAGCTGCGGGCTCGGTGGCCATGTGGGTCAGTCGAGTGGAGGTATGACTGCTGCGTCGATCGATGTCGGTGCGATGCGGTTGACTATTCGGTCAACCGCCGTGTGGTGCCGTAAAGCGCACCACTGTGGGCGTTCGCCCTCGTTTGTGTCGACGCTTGCGCGTCCCCTCTCGCGCTCCTAATGTCCGTTTGTGATCGTTCAGTGGAGGAAATACAACTGCAGAAAAACAGAACGCCTCAGGACTATGCTTCTCTGTGTTGTGAGTTGGGATCGTCCGTTTGTGATACTTGTGGTATTACAATTGAGTCGCTGTTGTGTTGGATCGGAACTATTCTTTTTAGAACATTCGCCTTTTTGCGCATGCATGGGGTGGATGGAGCCTAGAATCGCTCTGCCACGTTATCGAGAGACTTTGCACCCCAGCACGCCTGGCCACACCGTGCGACCCTCCACGACGGAGGGAGGCCTTCCGTCTGCAGTGGGAGGCCTCCCGGCTGCAGCGGGTGGCGGTCCGCCCGGGGGCCATCACGGCTCCTCCGGCTGCGCGGAACACGACTCCCTGTGGGCGTTGCCCCTAGATATGGCAGGGTGACTGAAGTATTACACTACCTTTGACTCTCTGAGTTCTCTTATCAATTCCGGAACTCCAAGCTGCTTGAAGCAGCATGCGGGCTGAGGACGCTCTTTCCTAAAACAAAAACTTCAGTGACTTTGAAGTGTACGGGGTTCAGTGTACAAGTGAACAAGCGTACACACAGCCTGCCATGGGGCGTGCTGGTGGACCAGATCGTGTCATTCATAGACTGATCTTCAGACGTGCGGTGTTGTATAACCGATGGGTATGGCATCAGTATCAGGAGTGTGGGGGACAACAGCACGACATTGGATAATCAAATAGTTTCCCGCTAACGTTCAATGCTCTCTCACACTTACTTTTTCATGGATGAGCCAAATGCTTTAATGCAGAGTGTACGATGGGTCACCCACTAGTGGCATGAGCAAAGGGTGAGTCAGAGACGTTACTAACCCTTTGAGATCTGTGTAGGTCGCCTGGGACAGTTGTTAACGCTCTTGAACTAAGGTCGGAGCGTTGGTCACCCTTTCATACGAATCTTAAGCCATCTTCGTTCCAGCCCACTTCAGGATCTACCTTACATGCGTTCAGCATGGACCTCAGCAACAAAACGGGTGAGCTTTCATCCCACATGTTGAAAATGAAAATACATGGCACATTTTGGGGAACAATTTCGCAGGTTGATTGCAGGACTGGATTCAGAGTCCTGCTCGTGGCGCCGATAGGCTGCAGCGAAGACCCCGATCGCGCGATTCCAGCAAAACGCGTCAAGTTGGAGGGACCACCTTTGTCAGATACTCTAACGTGTCAAGCAGTCCTGAGACACGAGCAGGGTACAGCTATACAAAGCTTTGTTTCTGTCTGTGTCTCTTGCAGTGGCGCAGGCAGGGAGCATTGGGGTTACTTAGGTCCCGAGGGGCGGACAATGATTAAGGACCCGGTTTGAGGGCTCGAAGTGCTGGTTCGGGGTCACATTAATAAGCCCTGGTCTTTAAGTCGGACCCTGAAATGCGAGTCAGGGGGGCTCTTTACCTACATTGGGGTCCCATGAGTCGACGAGGGCCTGTATATCGGTCGGGTACCACCAGTACCGAACATCTGGCTCCGTGACGGTTTGGGTCCGAGAGCCGATTTCCCAAACGGGGACAAGGCTGAGGCCCGCGAATTTCATTCGTCGGGGCACCTAAGCCAGTGAGGGTTGGGCACGGGGGGCCCTTGTGTCGGTCAGAGGCTCACAGTACCTAACAGGAGGTGTCGTGTTGGCAAGGGACATAAGGTGATACCCGGGACCGATCATCAAGAGCCCGACTGAAAGGTTGAAGAGCTCGAAGGCGTGTCTGCGACATTTAGGATCCCGTCCCGTAGGGTCAAAAGGCCTTATCTACTGATCGGGAGCCCCCTGAGACAATGACAGTCTCTCTTTTTCGGCGAGAGATCACCAACATCAAACAGCCCCGTGCCGCTTTGAGCCTTGGGGTTCAATATCCAAAACAGGAATAAGGCCGGGGTCCGCGACCTGTACTGGTCGGGGCCCCTGAAACAGTGAGGGGCTTCTCTGACGGTCAGGGGCCGCAGTGCCTAACGGGGGCGCTGTGTCGGTAAGTGGCCCCGAGTCGGCCAGGGGCCTTTTCAGGGGGCTCAGTGACCAGAAGGACCCTCGGAACCAAATATCAATTGCCCGACTGGAGGGCTGAAGGTCCCAAAGGACTGGCTTGAGATCTCAGTAAGGTAGGGGGCCGCAAATTTCAGAGGACCTCTTACGTTGGCCGGGGTTCTCTGATAATGAAATGATATATGATTTATGATGGAAAAAGTTCACAGTGAGGTAGCGGAAGGGTCTGGTGCCAGTCAGAGCACAGGACTGGATAGGGGGAGGGGGGCTCCACCCCATTTCAGTCAAGTATCTGTTAATCTGAACCGGAGTCTCTGTGTCAATGTTTGAGCCACCTGCGGCGCTTAGAGATCTTGTTGCTTCAATGAGGGCTCCGGCGTCGATCTGGGGCCAAATGCCCGGTTCAGAGGGCCTCCTGCACCAGGGAGGGGACCAA